TTTTATTTTAAATAGATCTATAATTTTTTTTTTTTTTTTTCATTTGATCCCCATCAAGTGGTACAAATTCTTTATAATATTCAACAAAAATTTTTGGCATCAAATTTAGATTACATGTATTACCATTGTTGCATTCAAATACTTTTGGTTCCCCCCAAAAAATATAAAATACTGAAGACAAGCACTATGGTTTAGTTCATCAATTTTAAAAAGCACTTGTTCAATAAAATTATTAACTAATGTTTGAATAAAAAAGAAGTATTTTGTTCTTCTTTTGAAAGTCTAAAACCTTTTACAAAATACGGCTTGATCCGTCTTAATTCTCTGCAGTAAAAATAAATAGGGCAATAATTTTTTTTTTGAGGAAACATTTCAAAAAAGCATCTTGATTGTGCATGTTTCTCAGCACCAAGCTACCAATCAGAAGGCTAACTTCAACTTTGCTTGGAGTTTGTTTTACTAAAACTTTTATTATTATTTATGTAAAGAATAGTGGCTGCGATATGTTTGCACTTATTGCTTTGACTAGCTGCACACTCACATGACACTTTCATGACCTTACGAGAGCTGTCAATCTGTAAAAAAGGTTATGTTAAATCATGTTCACTAAAAATCTTTGTCTTACTTTATATATAAGTTTATTATTTAAAAAATTAAGCGCTTACATACAGTTGCACTCTGTGTGGAATCAATGAATGTTATGTTTGTCGAATTACCCGTAATTCAGTTGATATGATGACTTCATTGTACTGGTATTCTTGTACATGACAGATGTGACCACTTTTAACTAACAATTTTCTTTTTACTAGGGCCTGGGGACTAAAATAAGTCGTATAACTTATTTTTTAAAAACCCGTTTAAATAATTACGTCAACTTTTTCTTGTCAAATAGCTTTTAATTAAAATAAATAACAATATCCTAATACTGCTATTATTCTCCTAATACTCTACGTAATTCTATACTAAAAATGTATTGCATTTCGGGGTAAAAGTAAGATGCTTTGTCCACCAGATGTTATGACATTGACATGTCATGTACCCAGCCTATCACGCAACCGATTTTCCAGCTTCTGGGTGCAGCGGTAAAATCGGCAGTTAGCTAACGGTTCAGCGGAAAATTGTTCCGTTTGAATTGTATATCCTTGGTCGGTTTTTGTATTATTTGAATCTGAAATAAAATACTTACAAGGAATCATGGTGTGCTTGACGGCTCCAAAAGATTGAATAAAATGAATCCAAAATCTGCGAATGCAGAAAGTTTCTCTATTTTTTGTACATAAAAAATCAGTTGAACTCAAAAATTGTAATAATAATAATAGTAATAATAATAATAGTAATAATAATAATAGTAATAATAATAATAGTAATAATAATAATAGTGATAATAATAATACTAGTTATTGTTATTATTATTAAATAAAATACTTCTTCCTGCGAACAAACACTGTTAATACAGTGATTTAAAAATTAATAATAAGAGAATAGGTTTTGGTCACGTAATAATTTTTCTCATAATACATGATAGAGAACAGAAAATCAATTTATAGGTAGGATATGACGGATGTAGCTCTGTCTTTAAGATATGACTTTTATTATTTTTAGTATTATTACGATTGTTTGTATTAATCCATGTAGCATACATTTTTTTACCTCAATACTTATTTTGTATACGTGGAATTATTTTCAGCTTATCTGGCTTCCAATTCGAGATACGACTGTTTTTCTAATTTTGAGAGTTTATGTTATAACAAAAATTTTTCGAAGATTTCATCAACGTTCGTATAAATTTTTCAAACATGCCAAACTAAATAAAAAACTTTTTTTTTACTTGTTCTTTACAAGATACAGTCAAAAAAATTAAAAAATTGATATTATGTTTGTGTATAATTAAACCCCTCTCTATTCTATTCGTGCGCGTTGGTCATGGAGTAACCCAGTAAGAAATCTGTAAAAATGATTTTTAGCCAATTTTGCTTCCCTTTCGAGGTACAGCTTTTTTTCTTGTTTTCAAAGGTTAGGTTGTCGTATTATACATATTTAATACTTAATGCTCGTTTTTTACATACATCTATACCTATTAAAAGATAAATAGGAAAATATAAAGAATTTTACTATGTTTTTTCGAAAACTTCAAAGAGATCAATGTATAACGTGCCTATAGAAGTATAACTTTAAAAATAAGTTAGAAACATTATAGCCACCAACTCCAAATAATTTACAAATCTAATGTAGACGTATGGATAGATATACATGTGATGTATAAATTATTATCTGATTCATCAGGCTTGAATACTTGATCTGCTTGAATAGAGAGGAGATTTTCTTGCTCATGGGAGTTCTATTGGTTACAGATTTAGCAATGAGACATTGATCAATATTTATTTACAAATAAATAAAGTCATAAAAATGGCACTGTCAAAATTTGGAGGCACGAGTGTTTCTAGGAGCCGAGTAGTTAATATTTATATTTAGCCAACTTTGAAATGTTGGCTTATGGGCTGTCGTTCTCTTGAGCGCTTCTATTGCTTTTACCTCGCTTATTAACAATAAACTTTAGATGAAAATTTCATTAATGATAAAAAAACATCTAATGATCGTATTTAATTTTATCCAACATCTCAAGGGTACTAGTGAGACAAGAAATCAATTAATAATCAAAGTAAAAACTTCAAAAGGTTATGTTGTCACAGGAGAGCGAGAAAGACAGACGGCATACCAAACTATAAAGAGCATAGACTATAGCAAGGGATTGAACCTCCTTAAGAAATATTTGTACTTTAGAAAACCACTTTCTCAATGAGTATTCTGAATTTTCGCCCTGTTTACAAAACACTTTCTGTTACTTATTGTACCATTTCCGGATGTCTGCTGCTGAAATCAGAGAACCATGCTTGCCCAAGTGTGTTATCTTAAAAAGGTGCTTCAATTTCCAATTCATTGAAGATATTGTTGACACTCTCAAACAACTGAACTTTTAAAATATAAAAAAATTAAAAGTATTTATGTAGTGCAGCATGTGCTGTTTTAAATTTATTACACTCAGCCATAGGAATTTGCTAAAATCCGCTGTTTTATTCGCTAATACACCAATTCATACGTAAATCAGGACTTGCTGGTCCTGGCACCCTCTGTGCTGAGCTTCACACTACATTTCTCATTTTGCCAAATTTTGGTTTGAACTATTCCATAAAAAATGAAAAATGTTCGTCAGCTTTTATTTTTTTTTTGGTATAGCTTACTATGCAATAAATAATTTTGTCAAGCTAAATAAAAAATCTACCTTTCGATAAAATGGAAAAGACAATTCATAAAGTATAATAGTCACTGAAATAGTGTGTTTTTCATATCATATTTTAAACCTTTTACTATTACTCATTCTTGAGTCACTCTTCAAAACGTAAAGAAAAAAAATGTACTTTATACAAAACGTTAAAAATCAAAACAAAAAATTTAAAAAATAATTTTAACTTCGTACGATTTGAGTTATTTGTGTTTACTTTATCATTAAACACAGAAATATTTACAAGTTATTATAAAAGAAGTGTTTTTCTGACGTAGATTGCGTGAAGCATGTCTAACATGATTATTATATTTAAAAAGCTTGGAAAAAAAATGATTGAACGAAACAATACAACTATAGTTACCTGTCAAATATGGTTATTAGTACAGCTATAAATCAGAGCTAAAAATTTCGCTGAAACTTTATAGAAAAATTGGTTGAAAATCTGATTTTTAAAATGCATATGAAACATAAATGGTGTTATCATTCGTATGATGACATTAAAAATGAAGGCCCAAAGTATTTATGAACAATTTTTAAAAAACTTAAAATTACTTGAAATTTTTTTTCTATTTATTCAAAAATACTTGAGGCCCCCAGTTTTTATGTCATCATACGAATTGCATCTGCAGCAATCGATACATCTCTAAAAAATCAGATTTTAAACCGACTTATATTTAAAATTTGAGCAAAATTCATATCTGTAATTTATAGCTGTATTTTACAAGTACTTGTAGCTGTTTTATAGGTATTTATAAATATATTGATAGCTATAATTGATAGTTTTGAGAGTTTGTGTGTTTAAAGTCCGTTGAAAAATATTGAGATTTTTCTTCATGCTTTGTAATAAAAAGAGTACCCAGTACACCAAAAAACTACTTAAATGTTTTTTAAAACAAACAGTGGATTTTTCTGGTGATGACTAGACCTCCATAGGTTTCTTTTTTAAAGAAAGCCAACATCTGGCCAGGTTATCAGTAAAGTCACTATGATTTTTAAATAGGTTGATACAGTGAAAGAGACAGTTAACTCGCGAAAATTCTTAAATTTAAATTGATAATGGCTGCAGTGCGCTTAAGATGCATGCTGCACCTTGTTAATAGTACCCATAGAAGGATGGATTCCTAAGTTGTCCGAGGAGAACTTTGCACAAGGTCCACACGAAAGGCTCGCATACTTGGAAAAAAAAGGTAATGAGAAAAACAAAAACGAGGATGGTAAAGGTTAGGAATATAGTACACGTATTAGTAAATGCTACTAATAGATGTACGTAGAATCTAAATACTATACTAGACTAATAGTCATAAGCTACTCAAGACTGATGGTACTGAAACATGCACTTTATAGATAATATTTGTACCTATTACTGTAAAAACACATTATTTATTAATACAAAATTAAGTGCATCCATGGAATATAATTATTGAGTATTAAACTTTTAGGGTACCATAAATTAAATTTTTGAAACGTGACACACCCTTTTTTTCAAATTACAGCTTGTTATGAGTGCTTTATATTACTTTGCAATCAGATGTTTAACTTTAATTTTAAACTATAGAATTCAAAAAATAAAACCAACATTTTTAAAAACGTTTGTTATACTGACTACTTGCAATTTTTTGGAGACTTCATGTCTTTTGTTACTTTCCGTTTTTAACCCAACATAACATGTGTTAGTGTGAATCATGATAAATGCTAACTAATTAAATATTTGTAATAGCTGCTGATAAACTAATAAAAATATGGGGATCATATGATGGCAAGTTTGAAAAAACAATAGCTGGTCACAAGTTAGGCATATCTGATGTAGCATGGTCCAGTGATAGCAGACTCCTGGTTTCAGCATCTGATGACAAAACATTAAAGATCTGGGAATTAAGCTCGGTATTATATTTTTAATCTAGATTCAAAAAAACAGTATATATTTACGTAATACATGGATTTTTCTAGGGAAAATGTTTAAAAACTCTTAAAGGACACAGCAATTATGTATTTTGCTGTAACTTCAATCCACAATCAAATTTAATTGTATCAGGATCGGTAAGAAAAACCTTTATTTTACATAGCTGAAATCCGAATGTAGTTCGGATCCGAATTTTTTTCAGTTTTAAAAAACATTTATTATTTGCAGTTTGATGAAAGCGTACGAATATGGGACGTGAGAACTGGGAAGTGTTTGAAAACATTACCAGCTCACTCGGACCCCGTGAGTGCTGTCCATTTTAATAGAGACGGCTCCTTAATAGTGTCAAGTAGTTATGATGGACTATGGTAAGTTTCTTTAAGGGACTAATGTTTTTAATTGATGGTCATTCACATGATTTCAAAAAATTCTAATGTAGCAGAATTTGGGATACGGCATCTGGACAATGCTTGAAAACTTTGATTGACGATGACAACCCCCCTGTCTCATTTGTTAAATTTTCTCCAAATGGAAAATATATTTTAGCGGCTACTTTAGATAATACATTGAAATTATGGGACTACAGCAAAGGAAAGTGCTTGAAAACATATACAGGTCACAAGAATGAGAAATACTGCATTTTTGCTAATTTCTCAGTCACAGGTGGAAAGGTTTGTATTTGTAACATCTTACAACAGCAAACATAACTAATTTATTAACTACTCAATAATATTACAGTGGATTGTATCTGGTTCAGAAGATAATATGGTATACATTTGGAATTTGCAAACTAAAGAAATTGTCCAGAAATTACAGGGTCACACAGGTAAATCAGTCATTTTTGGTCAATAAAAAAGCTTCAAGTGAAATTAATAATAATTGTATTTGTTATGATTTTGTTCATAAGTATTATCACTACTTATGATGAGGTCATTATCATTATCATCAATATAGTTATTTCATAATCATAATTATTATTAGTCTTATTGTTACTAGAAAATAATTAGCGTGGGTGTCGTGTGCGTGGACTGTCATGATTATGACAATTGATACTAGTAATGTTTTAGTTTTAAATATCATACAAAAGTACATTTTGTACATTCAAAAATACGTATTCTTTGACCACTTAATCAACAGTTAAGTGACCCTGAAGTAAATAATTAGACAATGTAGGTTTATTGGTGTAGGGTTACATAAAGAATCTCTAATAGGCCTGTCCAAGAATATCGTACAAATTTTGAAGGTGGACAGGCATAATTGAGTGTTTGTAATTATAAAGTATATGAAATAAATCGCCAGATGCGGCAAATTTTTCAGTTTCTACATGATTCTCGATTAAACTCATGCTTAAATATTGATATCCATTAGCTTCTGATATGCAAACGAGTTTGCAGAACTTTGAGTAGAAGTAGGCCAAAGCTAGCTAAATGTAACGATGTGAAAACATGTATGTGAAAATCGTAGTAGTCCTTATTTATTGTTTAGCATCACTGGGTGGCTTATTTAATATAGACCAACTGATAAAATTTTGAATTAGATACCTGCTGTAGAAGGAAGTAGTATTTACATTTTATGTGATACCTCCTGTTTTAACCTAAAAAAGAATTTTTTTTTTTTAAGGGCTGGATCAAATAATACAACTGCATAAAAAATTCTATTGAGTTTACATATCTCGTGTAACAATGCTGAAAACCAAAACTCCAAGCGTATGTAACAGAGGATTTTTCGATTTATTCGGGCCATTCATTGTGTTTTGACTAACTATTATTGACTTGGTAGTATAATACAACTTAAATTTAAATTATACTATAATAATACATAGCTTGAAGAGACATCTTAAATTGATGAGCGGATGTAAATGCATTTAGTATTATAAGGAAACGTTTTTTTAGCTGATCATATTTATCAAAACTGTAAGCCTTAGAATGAATTCGAATATTAATAGCTTCCAACATTTTAAACATAGTGAAAACCTGTTCTTAAACCTTTTAACATTGTAAAATAAGAGTTACATCAAGGTAGCTGACCGAAACCTTATGCCACAGTTGGGGCGAGGTCTACCATTTGTCGCTAATTTGTTACTTAAAAAACGATTTTGTCTCTCATCCCGTTCTATAGATAATTATAAAAATGCTAGCTTGGCATCAAGTGCATACTTCCGAATGAAAAGGAGATAGCAGAATGAAATTATGCTCATAATTTGTCGTTTAGTTGTCACTAAAAGGTTAGGCCAATGATGATTTTATTGCCAATCCTCAGGAAGCCACGACGCGATTTTCGCTGATCAGCACATAAAGATAGCCGGCCACAAGCGCGTATTCCCGATTCAAAAAGAAATAGCAGAATATGATAAGGATCATAATTTATCAGTTATTTGTCACGAAAAAAGTGAGCCCAATACTAATTTGGTTGCTGATCCCTAGGAAGCCCGCCATTGGTCTACATTAGAGTCATTTATACGAGTGTGGGAACTGTCATATGCAAATGATGTATGTAATTTTTTTTCAATACGTGTACAAATAAATATACATTTGTCTTACAGTGGTTTAAAAACAATAAAGCCCTTTGGCAGAGTTAGTATGTTTTTCTGTATTATTTTTATAATAAATTAGTTATTTTGTATTCATACGTGAATTTCGTTTTTGAAGTAATAATTTAATATTTTTGATTCTTATACTCATACTCACAGTATAAATACAAGTTCATTATACTTTTCCATATTGAAGATGCTGCTGGCTCTTAGAAGGCTATAGTAAACTTAGCTAGTTACTTAAAATGGAGTTTAATTTTGTATTGTATACTGACTGTCATTACATCGGTGTGATTATAATTTGTTTTTCGAGTACCAATGACTGCTTAAAAATAACTACAATTAATAGAATTCCATTTTACATGGGTTAATATAGAGAAATCCAAATTTAATCTAACAGACTATACCATGGCAATATTAGCGCTGGAACCGATTTTTCTTTACGCATGGCCCTTGTAATTTTTTGAAACTTTTTGCACAACATACAAACCAACAAAATTATTTTTGTCTTATTTCATTTTACAATTAAGTTTAACTTTTCAGAATCTTTGCATTTAAATGTTAGTTGTATTAAGATTTTATTTTATTGTATTAGGTTGTTGTAATATTTTACTTTGAAAGTGATCGAAGGATAGCTCTATCCGACAGTTTGGCTCGTCTTTTTAACGTTTAAATTATTTTTTGATTCCTTTTTATATTTTAATTCTTACATACGTCATAGTGGGTGATATGTAAGCGTGAGCGGAAGTTTTGGTGTAATAGAGTTTTACTATGGTGTATGCGCCTCTAATTCCCCTAATTTTCCTTTTATTTGTGAGCTCAAACGTAGACTGGAAGGAAGTGTGAGAGCTGCCAACTCCCTCTCACGCCTTGGTGGCCAAGATATGAGGACGCTCCTGCGAAACCGTCGCTGTTTGCTTTTTATTTTTGAAAAAAGATGAAGTATTGCTCCTTGTCGGCAAGTTTCATTTCGACATTTAGGGCCATTTGCCAGTGCTAATTCAGTCGCATTCACTCAACATGCCATCGTTTGACAAAAATTCTTCCGTTGTTAGTAAGCTGTATTTGTCAATTATAATTGGTAAGCTCTATTTGTCAATTACAAAGCCCGATAATTTCATTTCACAACAATTTTTTTATAACTGTAGTGTCAGCAGCCAAATGTTCGAAATTTTTAAATTGCCTGATACACCCATTCTTTTGCACCTCTACTACTCCTATCCATCCGTACAATCAGCACCAAAAGGGAAAGGCATTTGACGTTTCTTATCGCCTTCGAGAAAAAACTGTTTCAAAGAAGTTACATGGGCATGCAGTGCACATTTATTGCTCTAGATAAAAATTTTCGTGAGAACCCGGATGTTGCAAACAAGCCAACTTATGGAAAAATTCCAAGATATGACAAACGCCAAATGTTGTTTTTAGTCAAATAAAAACGAAGCCACACACCTCATCGGCCATCGGTGCCCTCCTTACTTCCGCACTGGAACAAGCAACCCCATGCCACTACCACCGTGTACAACTAAACAGCCTCTCTTCCCCTTTTTCTCCCACTCTCAATAACATTAACAGTACGTTGAAAACACGATTATTCATAAACATAAATAAAAAAACAAAAGAATAATTACTGATAACATTTATACTTAGGTTAATAAAGAGGGCTCATGAAATTACTATCATTAGTACTAATGTTGTTACTATTACTATTAAGGTTTTAACCTAAAAAAGAATTTTTTTTTTTTAAGGGCTGGATCAAATAATACAACTGCATAAAAAATTCTATTGAGTTTACATATCTCGTGTAACAATGCTGAAAACCAAAACTCCAAGCGTATGTAACAGAGGATTTTTCGATTTATTCGGGCCATTCATTGTGTTTTGACTAACTATTATTGACTTGGTAGTATAATACAACTTAAATTTAAATTATACTATAATAATACATAGCTTGAAGAGACATCTTAAATTGATGAGCGGATGTAAATGCATTTAGTATTATAAGGAAACGTTTTTTTAGCTGATCATATTTATNTTTGTATTACTTTAATTACTACCGTTATTATCATCGTTACCAGTAAATTCACTTCAATTTCTTTTCTTTATTAACTAAGTGTGCTCGCTCTTTTATTAATAACTAGCTCTACTTTAGCAATAACATAAGTTATAAAAAATGCCAGCTGCAGAGAGAGACGGGAGAAAAAAGGGATATTGTCTCCCCTCTTTTTAGTGTGTTCGACTGCGAAGAGGATTTTTAAAATTTGCAAACCATCACGTGCTTGAACCTGAGTGGCGACCCCAAATTATGCAAGGGCGTGACCTAAAAACCAAGCATTCCCACTCTATGATCGCTTTCCCGGTTCGCATTCACGACCTCTTCCCAATACCCTAACTCTGCGTGTGCACAAGAACGATACCCCCGAATTGACCCACGCAAAACCGTATATAAGGCCCGAAGCCTCCTTCACTAGCTAGTCTCAATCGATCGATCTTACCATCCTTGACTCTCTTTTGGTCCAGGTCCTCTGCTTGACTCAGCTTGGTCAAGTTTCCTATACTGCTGCTCTTAATTTGCAGCACTCTTATAAGATCATCCTTGATTCCTTCAGTCAAAATATCAGTCAATTCAGGTTGCCCCTAGTGTTGGGAAACAATAAAATAGTAAGTCAAAAAAAAAAAAAAAAATCTTTTTTAATTTCCGACTACGCACCCATCTTCACTAGCAGCCTTCCGGAACCCCTCGGGCTGCTTGTCTTTGTGCAAAAAAGCAAGCGAGTTGATCTGCTCACGTGTACCTTTTGCACCGTCTCGCGAGAGTGGCTGACGTGAGGTTGCACCTCCCTCACGTACCTTACCGCCTCGCATAGTGGCCTATCTTCATCTATCTGACTGCCTGAGCAGGAGACTTAAGCCAAAAGAATCCTGAGAAATAAGTGAAAGCTTAGCTCAAAACCTTATGCGTTACGCTGACGTAACAAACTTTTGCTAAATTCAATAATCAGTCGTTTTGTTGTTTCAAATTTACTATATATTTTAAATTCGTTTATCGAAATTGCTGTATGTCTAAGTTTTTCCATTATTTAGTTTACTCAATTATCTTTATGATTTTAGTAGCGAATAAATTACTAAATTATTATTTCCTCATACATGATTCTTGTAGTTTTTTCAAACTATTTAACATTACGTCTCTATTAATTAGCCTTAAAATCTGCAGTTATAATTATAAAACTAGTCATTCTCTATTGCAACAAATAACTGATAGAATTGTCTGATTATTAAATATGTGAACTTACTACTTA